CCCCCCCCCCCCCCCCCGGACCTGGTTCCGCTCCCCCCATGACCTTCTAGCAAGCAGTCATTCGGTTCATTGATCTATCGAGTGTGGTACTGATAATTCTAGGTGCATCCAACGGTGTTGAGAACAAGCTGGCTATTGACAAAGTTTTGCTGTTTGCGGACATGTCAGAAGAATCCTACCTTGTGTCACTCGCTGCCTCTTTTCTTCACAGTGCCCATTTATGTGCATTTCATTTTGAAAAGTGCTTCTGGGAGAGCGGATCGATGCAGATCCTCTTGTGTGTTTTGTTTGCTGTATCATGCATTCTTTCATCCATACCAATCCAGTTTGTTTCAGGACAAGTGGGGAAGGTTAAGGAGCTTGTGTTTGCAGTTTTTCTGGGAAGCGGAGCCTTGTCTTCTTCTCGTCTCTTTGTCGTTTTCTGTTTCTAGCTTCGGGCACCTGTATGATGCAGCGCATCTGTGGATTGACTTTTTTCTGAAAGTAAAACACTTTCTTTGAGACTGACACTGTGTTTATAACCAACTGGCCTATCTCAGTTGGTACACCTTGGAACTGTTAAAATACAGACCAGGTCCGGAGTTCGGACTCCACTAGAAGCAGATGAGTAAAAGAAAAAAATACTGCAATTCGTAATTGCCTGAGGCCATTCGGTTCGATGATTAGATTGCAAGGCACTGGGCCCTTTTGAAAAAGGAGGGGAATATAATAAAGGAAGTGGAAAAAAAAAGAAAGACTGTGTTTATAGCTTTTAGGCACTTGCATGATGTAGAGCATGTGTGAATTTATCATTTTCGAAATGAAAAAGTGCTTTCCGGAACGACAATCGACGAACGGTTATAAAACCGGAGTTAGTGGCCGTATTGATTGTGGAGTGAAGTTGGCCCTGTGAGTGTGTCAAGCTTCAGCTGTTCCGATGCTGTCAATCGCGTTTTATTATTATGTTTTTCCCGCTGATGATCGGATTGACCTTGTGCTGCCTTGCAGTGCCAGTCGTGTATGTTTCCACTTGCCCCCTGGTTCTTGGCTTCTTTATTTTCTTTTCTCTTCTTTTGTTTTCTTTCCTTGTCGGTTCTGGCTCTCGTATCGCGCCAACTGGCTTCTGGTTCTAGTATCACGCTCACTGGTGATGATTCCGTAGGGGCATTTACAAGTGAATGTGAAGTTCCTCCCGGCAGCAGTCGATCACCTCTTATCGATCGTACGGATGTGGTCTGGATGTGCTGGGGTCTGATGACTGTTTTTCTCATGTTGCAGCGAAGTTAATGCAGGGTTCTTTTACAGCAGTGCCGAGCAGCGAGAAAAGATGGTGAAGGCAGAGAGGCAATACGTTGACAGCAAAGTCCAGAAAATCATCGACCTTAAGAAGCAGGTGAGTTCACCAACGAGCCTAGCTCAGTTGGTTGGTACACCCATGAACCGGTGAAATGCAGACCTGAGTTCAAAGCCTGCTGGACCTTGTGATGAATGGAACGAATCAGTCTGAACTACCTAGGGCTGGTCCGATCGATGAAAAGATATCCCAAGGCAGTAGCCCTTGCAAAAAAAAAAAAAAAAGTTTCTCCATCAGGGGACAAAAAAGGTTACATGTTGTGTACAATTGGCCACCTTTGTGTTGATGTCACCATCTATAGATGTGAGTTGAACTGTCAACTGAACCCCTTGGGCTATGTGTAATAAACTGCTCGAAATATGTTATTGTCGTCGGCCAGGGGTCGCCATTTCGGTCTTAGGGCTGAATCAGGGGCCACATCAGGCCACAGAGACGGCCTGAACCGAGGGCTGGTGCTGTATAAACCCAACCGAGGCCTGAAAAAGGGTCTTCCGAGGCCACGGTAAATGAATGTGTCCATAGGATCTGTGCCTATGTGGCACTATGTTGTGATCGGTTCATGCGAGGCTCGTCTTTGGGATACTGTACGCTGACGTGGAGGGAGGGGAGATGCCCGAAGGAGGAGTGGGACATGAGGGAGATTATCTTCGATGACATTGATGCTGACGTGGATGGAGGGGAGATGCCCGAAGGAGGAGTGGGACATGAGGGAGGTCTTATCTTCGATGACACTGATCGATACTTTCTCTTCCACCTCTCAAGTCTTAAGGGAGATACTGTATCAGCTTCTTCCATAGGATTGTCTATGCGCGCTTGTGTGATGGCCACAATAAATCCAAACCCCCCCAATCGGCGGGTTTGGGTTTGGGTGTGTGTACTGTGGTACCACTGCCATGCTCTAGATGAAGTGCACATCAGCATTTGGAGCAATCTTCTTTGTTGTCTCTGGTGTCGTCCCCTGAATAGACCGTACGGCCATTTTAGCTGTATCAGGGGCAACTTCCAGTCTATGTACACACAGTGATAAGGACCGTTCGATGTATGTTGTATTCTGGAGGCGACGGTAGGCACTTGCATCATTCTCTCCGACTTCACATCTCGGCTCAGCTGACAGTCTGCCACTAATAAATCCCTTCAACGACGAAGAATATGATCAAGTGTAGTATCTGTTCTGGTCCGTTTGATATCCGATCTGTGGTCCAAGGGTGAACAGATCCTTTCTGCGGTGAAATGCGGTTCTCAAACAGATCCTTTCTGCGGTGAAATGCGGTTCTCAAACAGATCCTTTCTGCGGTGAAATGCGGTTCTCAAACAGATCCTTACTGCGGTGAAATGTGGTTCTCAAACAGATCCTTACGGCGGTGAAATTCGCTTCAGAAGTGCTGTGGTTGCGCTGGCTAGCTGCCAGTGTTTTCTGGAGGCATTGTGTGATAGGAGTATGTGGTTGGGTTATTTTTCCCACTTTCACTGAGCCTGCTTGTGACTGTGAGTTAGCCTGAGAAGTGAGACTTGTTGCATCACATCTTTTCCATCGTCGCTCTAACAGTGCCTGTTCTCGTTTGTCTTCTTTGGCTGGCAGGTCTGCACGACTCCAGACAAGCATTTTGTGGTGATCAATCAGAAAGGAATTGATCCAATCTCACTGGACATGTTGGCAAAAGAGGGGGTAAGCAGAACACATCTCCCTTCTTGTGGTTTCTCTTGCGTCTCTTTCCCACCCCTCCTCAGAGAATGTTTTTTTTTGGGTTTGTAGACTTTGTCGTTTTAAACCACCAGTCCATCCACGCCTCTTTTTCCCAACCCGAATTTTTGGTTGTGCGCCAAAAGAAAACAAACTGACCCAGGTGTGAAATATTCTTTTTCGCCGGGCGTTGACACGACTTGACAGCCACATTTCGGCCCAGTAGATGGAGCCCCTGTTAATTTGACGGGTTGAACACTGTTGGAAGTTGGAATAGAATAGCTGGGAAAGGGTCTAGTCGCCTGAAATAGGCAAAGGAACATCTCATGTGGATGCTACACTGGCTGAATCCATTTTTAACTGCCGGCATGAATGGGAAACGTTAATGGATCTGTGCATGTGTGAATGTAGGGAATTGTGCATGTGGAAACTCGTATGTCCATTGAGACTGGCAAGCATGTTAAACAGTTGATGTGTATCCTTTCTGTTGATCTGTGTGTGTGTGTGTGTGTGTGTGTGTGTGTGTGTGTGTGTGCTGTCTCTTATACACATCTAGATGTGTATAAGAGACAGATGTGTATCCTTTCTGTTGGTGTGTGTGTGTGTGTGTGTGTGTGTGTGTGTGTGTGTGTGTGTGTGTGTGTGTGTGTGTGTGTGTGTGTGTGAGAGAGAGAGAGAGAGAGAGAGAGAGAGAGAGAGAGAGAGAGAGAGAGAGAGAGCTGGCATGGATGTCATGCACACGTTGGCAAATGGGCTGAATACAACACGTGTCTTTGTGTTGACTTTGATTGGTGGTTGTGGGCTACAGATCCTTGCACTTAGGAGGGCGAAGAGAAGAAACATGGAACGCCTTACGCTAGCATGTGGTGGTGACGCTGTGAACTCTGTCGATGATTTAACCGAAGATGCACTGGGCTGGGCAGGCCTTGTTCAAGAGCATGTGTTAGGAGAGGAGAAATACACGTTCGTTGAGAATGTAAAAAATCCTCGCTCTTGTACCATTTTGATCAAAGGTGAGAGCTAGTCTTCTTTTAGAAAAGGACATGTATCCTTAAAACCTTTTTGCATCCATCTGGTTCCTTAAAGAAGTTAGAACTCATGACCTGTTCATCAACAGCCCCATGTGTGTATGTACCATTGACCCACATGGGCCCGATTTGAGAGCTCGTTTTGAAGTTCTTGTTTCCTTCCCTGCTGATCTCTCTGCACCTACGCGGGTGGGAGCCGATTTTGCAGTTGCGCTTTTGAACAAGGCCCAATAAACTTGAGAATGATAACTGCCGGGGGTAGACTTGATTGTAGGCGGGGGCGGCGGGGGGGTGATATGAAGAATTCTCTGCTGCTCTGCTGATTGTCTGCACAGACGCGTTCGACAAATGTGGGAGTAGAAAACGGTAGGGCGGGGCAAGGTCATCCGTTAAAATTGGAACAATGCAGAGAAGGGAAGATTAGCATGGCCTCTGCGCAAGGATGACACACATATATCGAGAAATGGTCCGCTAAAATTGGAACAATACAGGAAAGGGAAAATTATCGTGGCCTCTGCGCAAGGATGACACACATATACCGAGAAATGGTACAGTTTGTTTTCTTTAAAGGGGGTGGGTTGAGCAAAGAAAGAGAAAGGAAAAGGTTCAATAAATTTGAAGAATAATGACAGACGGGGTTGGGACTTGATTTGAGGCGGGGGGGGCGAAGGGGGCCCTGATATGAAGAATTCTCTGCTGATATGCTTTGCCTTGCCTTGCCTGTTTCAGGTCCGAATGATCATACGATTGCTCAGATCAAGGATGCAGTGCGCGATGGCCTCCGAGCTGTGAAGAACACGATCGAAGACGAAGCTGTTGTACCGGTAATATGCTTCTGGGTGGTAGAGCTCTTCCTAAGCCAATTTTTAGCCAAAGTACGAGGAGGAGATTTGTTAGTTCCAAGAGTGAAGAAATTGATGCGTCTTTATTGACAGGACGATCTCGTTCTGTATGTAAATTATTTCGTGGTTCAAAAAGACAGTTTACATTTTAAAACAACAAAAAATAGTTGAGAGAGTGCACATGATGGATTTCCTTAGTCTGTTTTGTTTTCCT